TGCCGTGTGAGACGTTGTGTCGTCAAAGTTGTCTGCGACGATCTTCACAGACGAGAAACCTCGTTCCAGCAGGAGCAGGGCTGTGGAGAGCCCGACGACGCCACCACCGACGACAACGATGTGCATGGCGCCACACAGGCGATGGGAACATCCAAAGATGTTTTGTTCTTCTATCAAGAGATGCACTCTCGTTACAAGGTTGTCTCACTCTCATCCACTCTCTCATCGCGTTCGACCCCAACCATATTTGGGCGAGCCTCGACGTTGACCAGCGCTGGATGAGAACTCCAGTGACACACGTCGCGGCCAGCGTCCTATTCGTCCACGTTCTGATGGCGTGCTAGTTCGTCAAGCACCATTCTCGATGGCCAAGTTGCTCGGGATCTTTCAGACGACCACAAGCTGCCGCGGCCGAAAATTTCGAACCTCCGCCCACGGCCGTGGATCTCGACTCTTTAGCCACCGTCCACAACAATTGGTTGAAGCGATGCTGTGCAGGCGAACCGCCAAATGGACGCTGACGACATGCACAAGCCCAAGCCAACGGAAGACTCGAACGTGGGTTCGTCTAGCATGGAGGCTTACGCTGGGTAGAAGCAGTCCTTCGTGGAGGACTGGCGGTTGTCCCAAAGACGAGAACGCGTGCGGTCGGCAGGGTTTGTACGTGTATCTTGGGTGGTGGGCTGGCGCCACGTTCAGCTGAGATTCCGCTGCCGTGACAGCTGCACTCCTCTCTCAATTTTGATACAAATCAGTCTATAAATTGAAGGCGACTCTCTTTCGCGTCCAATTCTCTAACCTTCAACTTGATCTGACCACTGACGCGGCTGCAATCTCCACCCCCATGTCCGCAAGGGCGAAGCTCACCGGCCTCCGCCGCATCACTTGAGGCTCCTCCACACACGCCTCACCCCCATTTGCAGCCATTACAGCGTTCTCCTGGGAACACTGCAATACCATGCAGCATCAACATGGTGTGGCGAGTCTCTTTTGTTCGTTACGGCTTCCTCTTGTAGTTGAACCTGCGCAACATCAGGTTGTGTTCGGCAGACCGCACGTGGGAAAAACGGACTTGAATTTGGCATTTTTCGACTTGAATTCGGCATAAATGCCTAGATTAATGCCTGAAACGCAATATTCGGCATAAAGCCAGAACCCACCTCAACGTCCAAACGCCGAACGATAACGGACCCAGAACAAGATCTTTTGGGCGGCATTGTGCGATTCACGCAGTTGAGACTTGGCGGCGCGGCGGTTGTACCACCACGATGCAGCTATGGGTGCATGCTCTGGAAGACGATGGCGACGGCCACCACCACCACGATGACATTGTGTTTCCTGACCAGGACAGTTTCCACTTCTATGAAGACTCGGTGCTGTCGAGTGCACACCGCATGTGCCATCGCACGGCAGCACGACCCGCGAGGCAAGTGCTGACCATCCCCGAGCTGTTCCGCGCGATCACGACGTTTCAGCGTGGGTTGGACATCGAGCTGGCCCCGATATGCCGCGCGTGGCGAAAACAGCTCGAGTACTGCCAAGCGCCGTTCCTCCTGCAAGTGCTTAAATTGAATAGCGTTGCAAATCAGCATCGCTTCAAACGGCTACTACATCTTCGACCCGACATGTTCACCAGCGAGGTGATGGACTTGGTGGCGCGGTCCGGCCATTTGGATATGCTCCAGTACCTCCACGAACATGGCGTCACATGTACGACAGACGCAATGGACTGGGCTGCGGAACAAGGACATTTAGACGTTGTGAGATTTCTCCACTTCAACCGCACCGAAGGATGCACCCGTGCCGCCATGGACGATGCAGCCAAGCACGGCCACCTCGACGTCGTCCGGTTTCTCCATGACCATCGCACTGAAGGTGCAACGCAGTACGCGATGGACAGCGCCGCAATCAACAACCATTTGGACGTGGTCGAATTCCTACACAAGAATCGATCGGAGGGGTGCTCCAGGTACGGGATGGACCGTGTTGCACTGGAAGGGCACTTGGAGATGCTGAAGTTCTTGCACGTACATCGCCGCGAGGGTTGCACGTCCAAAGCGCTCGACTGGGCGGCCCAACAAGGCCATCTTGCGATAGTCAAGTTTCTGCACAACACAAGGACGGAAGGCGCGACGAAGGACGCGTTGTCGTGGGCGGCGGAAAACGGACATTTGGAAGTGGTGCAATTCCTCGCCACTCATCGCCGCGAGGGCCATCGCATCGACACGATCCAGAACGCCGTGCAGAATGGGCATGCCGCCGTCGCGAGGTACTTGCGAAAAGTTCGGCAGAAACAATGCCAGTGCGTCATTAGTTAGTATATTTATCAAAACGAATCTCAATCGAAAAACACCATTGTGGTGAAGGGGGTCTCCGACAAGAAAAACACCGCATGGCGTCAGAGGCATCCGTGAGCCTTTCGCCATTCTCGATCCCGCGACGATACAACTATCCATGCGACCGCAGATGCACAAAGCCCTTGTGTCGGGTCAATCGCCTGTTGAGCTGCACAAAGGTGTCGGCCTCGCGATGACTTCACGGGAGAAGGAATTCCGTGACGATTAGCGTCTGGTTTGGACTGGTGCATGCTGAGATAGCATGGTGTTTGAGACTGCTGCAACATGATGTCTGAACAAAGCAGTTTGTGCAAATGGTGGAAGGGTCGGTCGTCATGACATAGCCATGCGAGTCCAGTCAGTTCTTAGGAGTTGTTGACGAATTGGTGCCGGGTCAAGATTCCGCGCAGCACACTGAATGGCAGCGTGTACTTATGCGGCAATGCATTGATCTTGGTCTTGGCAGTGAAAGGGACACAAATTCCTTGGTAGCAGGGTGTACTGGCAGGATCATCGGGGTTCCGGCCCTCGCGTCGACTGTGGAGCGCGCCCAAAGCAGACAGAGTATTTCATCGCTTCCAAAAGGACAAACGTTTCGGTGGGCGTGGAGGTATCGACGCGCTTGACGAGTGTGCTTTTAGATGGTGTGGCCCGGGTGGCCGATGCTCCGTGATCGGTTTCAATGGAAGGGATTGTCGTTGACGAAGGCAAGTACGCGGTTCGGAAATGCGAAGATTCGTGTCGTCGTCGGATGATGGGTCGACGACGGATGCGGTCGAGAGGGTCATCAGTGACGTGAAGAAGCACGGAACACACACTTCGACGTCGACGGTGACACGTCGGACGTCGCCTGTGCGCAGACTGACCAATGCCCCTTGTACTACAGCTGACTCGGAGCAGTCGATGCACACAACATGGCCACACATCGCGCAATTCACCTTTGGGTTCCAGTGGAAGAACGCCCTGCATTGGTGGCATTCAAACGCAATCGACGGATCCTGCCAGTGCAGGCGATGGCTCAATCGGTCCATGACGACCGAGTTTGCCTCCTGGACGAGGTGCGTCGATCGAATAACCATCGTACACGTCCGCCGCGCGAGTCACTCTGCGCTGGACACCGTTTGGTCTGCCCGCTTGAGGTGATCTTTCGAACGCAAGTCAGTTCTTGTTCAAATTACGCACGTCTTGCCTCTGGTGGCTATCTCTCAAAACAACACACCAGACAAGATAGTACTTCGGAAGCGAGAACGATCCGTGCGCAATAGTCATAGTCAAACGCAGAATGCATGTTTGAGCTTGATTGAACGATGATCTCGAGTATTAATACGAACGACATCCTTCCAGGTGCAATATATTGAACACAATTGCAGTGGTGCGACAATTGATTCGGTGCGTAAAGTGGAACAATACGGTTCGAGAAAAATTCAGAGAAATCGGCCAATTTTCCCCATCTTTTTCCTCTTTTTTTGCAAGATTTTGGTCGATTGGCGAATGTGTAGTAGCTACTAAAAACACCCAGAGTAGTAAGTACTACTTGTCCGTTGAAATGGGAACAAGACCATAATTGTGCGGCACTCTGTCCACCATCGCATCGTGGATTGCTCCGTCGATGCATTCGATCATCGCCGCGGAATTGACCGATTCAACTGTTCTCTCGAACCCTCTTTGCACGGCCGAAGCCTCAGACGCGGCGCCATGCGCATACGTGGACATCGTGCATTCACAGTGACCTTTCACGTTCTACAGCAATCCCAACACGCGAAGCCTCGAGTCGTATTCGGATCGGCCAATGTAGCACCCGACGAGGGCCCGTTCGCCTTGAAACGCATGACGACCGTGGAGGACACGGTGGTTGTCGACTACGATCATGTCGCCTTCGTTCATCTTGTACGCCACTTCGCCCTAACGCAAGCGTGCTCGATATCAACGCATGCCCACTCGTGACCGACTAACGTACGTTGTTGATGGCATCCCATAGAATCTTGTGATGTTTGTAGTATGCCGCGACTTGGTCGTGGGAGAGATGGGTGATTGGAGACCGATCAAAATCGTTGAATCGTACGAGCTCGACGTTTCGAGCTGCATCGAGCTGGATGATCGGTCGCATCACGTGCAACGATACGTCGTCATCGTAGCAGTACTGTGGCAGCGACGTGTCACAAAAGAACTTGTACGTGTCGGGAGCATGCTGACGTAACCACTCGACAACGTGAAACCCGTCGACGAATCGACTGGCGCCTTCCAGACTCGACGACGTCGATTTCGCTTGCAAGACGCAGTTGAAGATCTGGAGTCCCGGAGGTTCGTACAAGTATGTGCAGTCCGTGTGCGGCCCGAGCGCCTGATTCGTCGAAGCGGTGTCTTTGTACGCCTTCTCGGGGTTCTCCGGACGGGTCGTCCACATGCCGCCGTAGATCGTCTCCATCACAAAACCAATGCGCCGTGCAAACGCTTCGGTTGCGTCCATCGTTAGCGGGGTATTCTTGATCTAATGGATCGACGTTGACAACGAACGTCGAAGGTGCAAATCGACACGTACCAAGAGCACACCCCACGTCTGGAGTTGTCGCATCCCGTCTTTGAATCCGTCAGCCATCATGGCGTCGTACGTCGTTGTTGGGAACGCGAGATCGTTGCTCCACAGTGTTTTCATGTCCATGCGTTGCTGCCTGCAATGGCGCGAGTCATACCCGCTGGGCGGTGTTTCGTACGCATGGTCGCGCAACCACGCAGCAGAGTATTCACTCCGTACACAATCAGACCCTTCCTAAACACCATCCATCGGATGATCAGAAGCTGAGCTACAACTGCATCCACCTACCACGACATCGTCCCAGTCGATGGACAACGCTGACTTGTCTTCACGGAGAGCAGCCCTTCCCGTGGGATGTAGTGGGATTGCAGACGTGAGGATTTGCCGTTGGAGGGTCGTGGGATGCCTACACGATGCACACGTGCAATTGTCGCGCAACCATGCCCGGTGGAACTTGGCTGACACGCCATCTTTCCACATGACTTGGATGGACGTATTCTCATCGGAGGGTTTGATTGCTTCGAGCACTGCACCAGCAGTGGCTCCAACGGTGTGAGCAGAACGTTGTCCAACTAGTGCAATGGCACGGGAAAGGAGCGAGCGACGGCTGCCGAGCATTTCTTCGTCGGCAATGACTCGGCCGGTACAAAGAAAGCGTGAAAATGACGGACGTCCATGGATCATGTTGACGCAGCACCCGAAAATAGCCTGGAATCCGAATAACATCCGGATACTTGGAGGGTGTCGCGCGGAAATTGGGCACTTTCCTCATGAAATTTCAAGTTTGGATACGTAGTACTACTACGTAGTACTAGTATTTCCCACCTTGGACGAGCTATCCGTATATGGCCTTCCATATCCGGAATTTGTCCCCCATTCTGATGAAAAAGCAATTTTCCCAACGTTGCATCAATTTCGAACGTCCGAAGTATTTTGAAACAGCGTTGGGCGTATGAGCAGGTGACGGGGACATATGATGGCGAAGCATCAGGGAGGTGGTGCTGCGGCGGCCGTTTGGTACTTCTCGTAGCACGAGGTGAGCGTGGAGAAGAGGTGTTGGCCCAACATCCGCTGGTAGAGCGTAAAGTCGGCAGGGAGGAGCTTGTCGGGGTGGAGAAGCCGCACGGCCTTCATGTATGCTTTCTTGACCGCGACCGGGGTGTCGTCCGCGATGTGGCACGGACGCATGTCTTTGTAGGGGAAGATCTCGTGAAGCGAATTGAGCATCGCGACCACATCTTTGTGCGCTGTCCACGCAGCGACGGCGGTGTCGATCGCTTGCCCATGGCGTTGGGCTTCGTCGGCATCCTTCTCCTGCTGCATTCGATTGCCTTCATGCCACTGTCGTCGTTCCTACGCAAGGGATGCCGCCTGAGAGCAGTATTACCAACACATTGAGATACCTCGAGGCGGCGCTGCGTGGCTTCTTGCTGGGCAAGCAGCCGCTCTTCCATGCTGTCCATGACGGCCTGATCCGGCTTGGTCCATCGTGTGGCCCGGGTGAGTTTGTGGTAATAGTACACTTGGCCCGCATCCGTCTCAACTTGGACCCAATTCGTCGTTTCCGGTCGTGTAGTCGCCGACGCCAGAGTGAACGGCGGGCTTGACGTGCTGGCGCCGTGAGGTGGAACTGCGACCGCGTCGGCTACCGAGACCATGTCATCGTCAGTACGCTTCACGCTTCATTGACGAGTACCTTCGTCTAGGCTTGACGTGGCGCTGCGATGCCGCCGCTTCCCTGCAATGTCGGCGGCGGTTTGATTTTGCTGGTGCTTGACGCGCTCGTCCAGGCGCAAGTTGGAGCTTCGCTTTCCAGGCCAATTCAAACTCTGCGGCCGCTTTCTCATCCTGCGTACTAAAGCCTACACCGCATCTCGACCGTCAACTTTCGACGGCGACACAAAATGCAAAACCCACCTCTTCTTCGGCGACGGCGGCGGCGGCAGCCGCAGCTTGCTCTTCCTGGACAGCCAAGGCTCTCTTTGCCTTGGTGATTTGCTTTCGCCGGAGCCGCTCAATGTACAAGTCCCAGTCCCGCGACGTTGCCGTGTGTGGTGCCGCCGACTCCTTGAGTCGGTCATGCACATCTATGTCATCTTCACTGGACGATGACGACGACTCGAGAGATCCAAACAGAGTTCTCGCGGCGGTCGCGTCGTCGTCATATGCACCGGTCGGTCCGAGCATCGTGGCGGCATGCGCCGCCGCGACCCCAAACAATTCATGCGCTTCGACTTCATCGTCCAAGTCTGCGACATTCGTCATGGCGAACGGCTTGAGCGGTCGCTTCAGCGTTGGATGGATGAGCGGCGGAGCGTCGTCCCAGCTCGGATCTCGAGCGAGCTTGGGCGCTTTGGGGGGCAGTAGTCGCGGCTCGCCGTCGTCGCTTTGAAGCAGCTGGTCGCGCTGCCCCATCCATTCGTTTACGATGCTTTGATGGCGTGTTTGCAACTGCATCGCGGCTTGAATCAAGCTCGTCACGATTGTTGTCGCCCGGACTACCGTGAGTTCGTCCCATTCGACGGCCATCTTGGTCATACTGGCCGCTGGCATGTCCTTCCCGAGGTCGTGCAGTTGGCGCTCAAATCGTGGCAGCACCTACGGGCACCGTCCGGGAGCGTCAGTGGCGCCTGACTGAACACCGGGACGGCAGCATTTTCACGTACATGATCGTGCACAAATCCAAACGGCTCTTGCAGGTGCACCTCCCAGACCTGTCCAAGACCAGAGCAGCGCGTGACCACAGGCCGTTCAAGCAAGTAGTTGGTTACCAGCGCTGTGTCTTGATGCAGCCGCATGTGGCTAGATGCGACGGCGCGCCAGGCTTCCCACGGCACCATCGCCGGCGAAGTCGACGACAACGGCACATTGCTCTGCGACCGCTCAAACGACTGCACCAAGTAGCAATACTGGCGCATCCCGTCCATGGTGCTTGCCATGTCGTTGTGCGCTTTGACCACTTGATCGCTGCGTTTCGCGACCATTTGCAATTTTTTCTGGAGCGGTGGGAGAGCCTCGTGGAGAGATTTGTACGTCCGACGGACGCGTTGCTGGCGTTGCAATGGCCCGAGAGAGAGGTTTGGCGATGGCAGCGACGGTGGGGCAGAAATTGAGTCCTGATCAAAGACCGCGTCGTGCAGGAACGCGTGCACAAAGGGGGACCTGCCGACGACTTCATGCAGTGCGACGTGCGTGAGCCACCGGTCCAGCACACGCCTGCGTCGCTCTGTGAACACAGGGTGAAACCGCGACTGCCCGCTCTTCAACAGGGAGCTTTTTGGCGGCAACGACGGCACGCACGCGAATGGATGTGCCGCCGATAAACGCTCCCACAACCATGCAAAATCTTTGTAACGACGCTTGACGGCGCAGACGTCCTGCCGTGAAAAGTGACGAGATCATGACGAACGATGGAGCGATGCGAGGAACTTACCGCCCCATCCTTCTGAACGACGACGTAATACACCATGTACGCAGTATGGCCGGATCCGACCTTTTCACACCCAGAGACTGCTACGTCTACGGGGTGCAGCGTGACGGATGGGGCTATTGGATCGGACGACGATGGCTGGCGTAGGACTGGATCAAGAGAGGAATCGTCTGTGGATAGTTGAGATGGCGCAGAGTTTCGCCTCGAACGCACATCGTCCGCCTTGTCGACGATGGGGGCTGCAGTCACAAACGTCGACTGCGAGCGGTGTAGGTGCCCGAGCGGCGACGATGGGACTGGTGTGATGTCGTGTGGTGAGCTGACTGGGTTGCCCAAATGCAGCTCTGCCACTCGTCGCAAACTAGGTTTGCATATCTCGACGACCTGTCGCGGCGCGAGCAGGTCGGTGTGCTGCTTGAACGTAGCCTTGATGTCCTTGTACACGTCCGACAACAAGTCCTTCGTCCGTTTGCCCTGCGCCAGGATCATGTCTTCAATCTTACCATGCAGCATGGCGATCTGCGCATGCAAGGCCGCGATCTCCTCAAGCGATTCTGCCCGGCCCTCCACGCGTCCCAGCTCCCTCGCTTGATGCGCCAACGTATCCATCGCGATCTGTCGGCGAATATAATATGTCACAGTGCCATGCCAAAACTGGGATTATTCGTTTCTACAGGAATCGAATTCCTCTGCATATCATGCCCAATGTGGTCCGCGCGCTGCAGCGGCGAGAACGATGCGCCGACCCAACGCGCATAGCGCTCTCTACGCGAACATGCTGGAGAGTACACGACGTCCTGTCCGAGGATGACGATGCTGTGCTTCTCGGCTTCAGCAACAACGGTCGATACCTCCGTACGCAATGGATCCCGACGAGTTGGTGACCTCGACGACGCTTTACCCTGTTTGCATGATAGTCTACTACAAGCCGTGCGAGCAAGGGTTACTCAAGATATATTGGCGCATGTTCAGCCCTACCTCGACGCCGCTGGTGTCCCGCCACGTGGCCGTGACCGTCACTGCAGGGCCTTGTGCCGAGGCATCGCTAGGGATGCACGCCATTGACGGTACGACGCGTTCGCATTACCGCAATTCGATACAATGTAATGAACGGTGCTAAGGTTAAATTAGATGACGACATGGAGCTTCGCGTTTGGGAAAGCATCGATGAATCGCTTGTGGTGGCGATTGCAAGCGTCGGTCGACCTGGGACCCCATGTCATGTCGCGGTCGCGTCTGGTCCGTCATGCAGGCACCGATCCCTTGGCGCACTTCGCTTGACCCTCGCGACGTCCGTGCCCGTCTCGCAGTGCTGGTTCTTCATTGCATCAACGACTCAACTCGTGCTTCACGGCGGCAGTTCGTTGCTCCTGTTCTCGCTGTATTCCGCAACCCAATCCGTTCCGTTCCAGCCACGTAAGTCGCCACCACACGCTTCATACCCATCTTGCTCCGTAGTCTCGACCCAGCCATGGTACCACGCGTCCGAGTTTCCAGTCGTGGTGCATGTCGAGCCGAACGCGGCTGGTGCCGTCGTCCCCGGGCAGCTGCAGGTTAGCATGGTCGTCATCATGATTCGTTGACGTCCATTCCCTAGTGCGGGCTTCAACTCACATTCGACATTGAATCGTTCCTGCGCCATCTCCTCGACTCTGTCCGCGCTCTTCGCCCGTTCCGTCTGCAAGACTACGACCTCCGCTTCCTTTGCGTCCGTCGTCCTCGTCGTCACGTTCCATCATGAGCTCACCAGTCTCTAGATGGCCGACCGGACGTGGATGCATGTGTGTGTCGTCGTCGTGCTTGAACCGTCCAACCCAGCGATGCCGCGGCACCGGCAGCGCGTCGGCATCTTTGCTGCGTGGAATGTCGTCGATGGCGCGTTTCACACCCTCCGCGTCCTGTCCATGCCGCCCATGGCGCCGCTGGCTACCGCCGCGACCGCCCTCGCTGCCAAGTGCCGTCGCGACATTCACCTGTTTCAACCGCCGACGTCCACAAAGCATGCCACGCAGTCAACGGCGACGTCCCCCAGCGACGTGGCGGGCTTCACGCTGTGGACCAACCTGGGCGTCGTGCGCGGCACGTCGCTGCACCGCGTCGACAATCCCGTGTTTCCAATCACGATCGCGAGGGCGTAGCGCCTCCTGCCGCCGCCGCCGCGACCAAAGTCGGTTTGATTTTCATTATCGTTTGCTACACCCCGTGCCCGACATGCGTGACGAACAACGGCCCCAGCACGAGTACCGTTGTCGACAGCAGCTTGATCACGACGTGCAGCGCCGGGCCCGCCGTGTCCTTGAACGGGTCGCCGACCGTGTCCCCGGTGACGGCCGCCTTGTGGGCTTCGCTGCCCTTGCCGCCAAAGTTGCCGAGTTCGACGTACTTTTTTGCATTGTCCCATGCACCCCCGACGTTGTCGAGGAAAAGCGCCATCATGATCCCTGTGACCGTGCCAAACATGAGGTACCCGGCGAGAACTTCGGCGCCAAGCAGCGGCTTGCTTTGGTACTCGCCAACCTACGTCATGGCATCGTCCATCACGTGTCATGATTCCGTCACCGATCGAGTCTGCCGTACCACGCGGAAGATGAGGCCGACCGCGACCGGCATGAGCACTGCCAAGAGCCCCGGGAGCCGCATCTGCTTCAGCGCAGCCTTTGTGACAAGTGCGACACACGTGCGGTAGTCTGGCTTTTGCGTGCCTTGCATGATGCCCGGATACATCTCAAACTGACGGCGGACTTCCAGGACCACGTCGCCCGCGGTGTCGCCGACGGCGGCGACCGCAAGCCCCGTGAAGAAAAACACCATCATGGTCCCAAGCAGCCCCCCCACGAGGACTTCGACCGTCGCGATGTCGACTGTCGTGAACGGGACGCCAGCGAACGCACTGAACTCGTCCATAAACGCGCCAAACAAAACAAAGCACGCGAGGGCGGCCGACCCGATCGAGTACCCCTTTGTGATCGCTTTGGTCACGTTGCCCGCGGCATCCAATTTGTCGGTGGCATCGCGCACATACTCTGGCTGGCTGCTCATTTCGGCGATCCCGCCCGCGTTGTCGGCGATCGGGCCGTAGTTGTTCATGGCCAAAACAAACACAGCCGAGCTGAGCATGCCCATGGTCGCGACGGCAGTGCCGAACAACCCGCCCGTGCGACCGCTCCCGATGCCAGACGACGAACCCAATCGATACGCAGCGATCACGCTGAAGCTCACCATAAGCGTCGGTACGACAGTTGACTTCATCCCGACCGCGACGCCCGTGATGATGTTGGTGCCATGGCCCGTCGTACTCGCCTTTGCAATCGATCGCACCGGCGTGTACGCGTAGTCGGTGTAGTACTGCGTCGACTTGACAAAGACATAGGCCGTCGCCATGCCGACCAGCCCGCACAAAAAGAAGTTGAACCAGCCGGACGGTGCGACGGCCGTGTACAGGAGCCAGCGTGTGCTGAGGCCAAAGCCAAGGAGGGCCAAGAGCAGCGTGATGGTGTACCCTCGCTGCAACGTCGTCATCGGGTCCGACTCGGTCGGGCTCGGTTCGGTCACGCACAAAATTCCAATCGACGACACGATGATGTCGAATGCATGCACAACGACGGGAAAGAAGACAAACGCGACGGGCGACTCGATGCCGCCTTCCTTTGCAAGCGACCCACCCAGGATCATAGCGCCAATAATCTCGGCCGCCACGCTTTCAAACACGTCGGCGCTGCTCCCGACACAATCGCCAACCATGTCGCCGACCAAATCGGCAATCACAGCAGGGTTGCGCGGGTCGTCTTCAGGAATGCCTTGCTCGACTTTTCCGACCAAATCGGCACCGACGTCCGCCGCCTTGGTGTAAATGCCACCGCCCAGTTGCATGAACAACGCCACAAACGACGCCCCAAAACCGTACCCGACCATGAGCATCGGGATCTCGGTCGCACTCACAAGCGGCGTGAACGCGGCGTGCAGCAGCACATACAGGATGCTCACCCCCGCCACGCACAACGTGATGTCCAGGACTGCAGAAAACGCTCCGCCGCGGAAGCAGATCAACAACGCTTCACCGTACGATCGTCGGGCCGCACTGGCGACACGAATATTTGACTGCGCCGACACCCACCTGAAGACGACATGATTACCAACCGACAATGAACAGACCTTACGGAGGAAGGACTTACATGCTGATGTAACCCGCGCCGGCTGAACACACAGCCCCAAGACCAAACGAGATCGCACCGAGGATGCCGAGCGTGACGTTGCCGAGTTTCTCCACACCGGACGCATGCACCGAGTTGGGACGCAGCGAGTAGCTGAAGAAGATCAAGAGCGCCAAGCCAACCGCAATTTGCGAGATTGCAGTGTACTGGATGCGGAGGAACCCCTCGGCGCCTTCGCGGATCGGGATGGACACTTCCCGCATATCAGGGGTACCATCGTCTTTCGAGAGCACCCAATGGCTCAGGTACAACGAAAACACCGCGCCGTACCCGCAGAACGTCAAAACAAGCACAATTGGCCGGAACGACGACGTGAAGAGCAGAAAGATGGCTCCGACGACCGTGATAACAAGGAGCGGCATGTTCAGGTCCACCTTCCTTGCATATGCCGATGTCTCATTGCGTCCTTTGCCGAAGCCGAACTCGACGTCCGGCTGCGAGTTCTGCGGCTCGTACTGCATCGAGGACTCTTCGCACAATGCGTCTTGGGGTGGGATGTCCGACAACCTCTCTAAATCAGTGGATGCCATCATGCATTTATACAGGTTTACAACATTCCTCTTGCAATTTGTATATTGGCAATTGGTCCACGTGGCAGCGTCGCTGGTGCAACCGGATAACTGTGTCATTATCCGGTCTCCAGCCCAAGTTCAAGCATCCACGTGGCACATCGGCAGAAGGAACGGCGCGCCGTGTTTCTGGAGGCGAAGTTGATGCGCGCGCCGTTCCTCTTGTCAATCGCTTCCGTTGCTGTGCGTGCCGTAACAGCATTCGAATCGTTGTCGAGTTATTTTTACTTTGGAAATAACGATCGCGAAAGCGCCGCGGTGGAAGCAGTGAGCACGAATGGCGAGCGAAGGAACAATCGAGGACGTCAAGCAAGAAGAGGAAAGGCAGGACGACGAGGATTCGCGCGAGGAAGAAAAACATCATGACACCGACCAGAATGCCTCGACCCGGCTGGGCTCGATGGAGGAGAAGTCGATTCCAGCATTGCGCGCTCAGCTTGACAACGGTACATCTCACGACCATATTGATACCCATCTCTGATGGCATTATAGTGCAGACGAGATACCGCAAGAAGGAGGCGAGGCTCGTGAATGACCTCAATTGCGAGTACGACTACACGATCAAGCACTTGGATCCGATCATATCGGAAGCACTGGAGGACCTGATGCTGCATCGTCCGGAACAAGTGTCGGCGTATCTTGCGTTTTACATGGCGGGCTCCGTCGACGTCTCCATGTACAAAAAGACGGTGGGTCTCTCTTGCTTGGTGTGCCCCTGACTATCGGGAACAGCAATTGCAGCCACAAGCGTACTTCGAGCGCAAGATCCAGCCCGCGCTTGGCCTTGCCATGGACTCCGTCATTCGTGACAAGCCCGACGACGTCAAGGCGTACCTGACCAAGTTCTTTGAGCACCGGGCCAGCATCTATTAACCCATGATTGAAATGCTGTGCGTTTGTGCTGCCACGTCGTAGTTGCCCGATCGGAATGTTGGTCGGCCTAACCAACCAATCAGCAGAGGGCATCTGATTTTCCGGAAACCTTCCGGATACCGTCGTCGGGGAAAGCACTGGCGAGAAACCAGGAATCGAGTGACGGCGCGGTGAGGGAGTGACGAAGGATGCCGCCGAAGCAACAGGCGTCCAAGAAGACGGTCCAGAAGGCCAAGGAAAAAGCAGTCGAGGACAAGACGTTCGGTCTTAAGAACAAGAACAAGAGTAAAAACGTACAGAACTACATCAAGCAAGTCGCACACCAGGTGAAAGGCACGAGCGAGCGCGAGGAGCGCAAGAAACTCGAGGAAAAAAAGGCGGCGCAAGCTGCCAAAATTGCCATGGAGAAGCAGATGAACGAATTGTTCATTTCGGCCATCATCCAACCCAAGGTACAATCTCATGCCTTGATCGATTGCGGGCTGACGAATGCGGTGTGCATGTAGGTCCCGTTGGGCGTCGACCCCAAGACGATCGTGTGCGAGTTCTTCAAACAAGCGACATGCGCCAAGGGAAATCGGTGCAAATTCTCCCACGATCTCATGGTGGGCAAGAAGGCGACCAAGATTAATCTGTACGAAGACGACCGCAATGCCAAGCAAGAAGGTACCTTCGTCCCCGTCCGCTTCCCTTTCTCATGCTTCTTTCGCAGATAAGATCGAGGACTGGGATCAAAAGAAGCTCGAAGACGTGATCAATGAAAAACACGGACAGAAGGTTGCGACACAAACCGACATCGTGTGCAAGTACTTTCTCGATGCGATTGAAAAGTCCCAGTACGGTTGGTTCTGGACTTGCCCGAACGGCGGCAAGGCATGCAAGTACCGCCATGCGCTTCCCCCTGGGTATGTGTTCCAGACCAAAGCGGAGCGTGATGCCGCCAAGAGCAAGAAGGTTGAAGAAGTCAGTATCGAAGAGATCATCGAGCAGCAGCGCGCGAAACTCGGCGCTGGCGGGGGCACCCCCGTCACGGAGGAGTCGTTTGCCAAGTGGAAAGTTGAAAAGTTGGCGCGTAAAGCTGCAGAAGAAGAGAAGCGCCGAAAGGAAGACGCTAAGAAGTCGGGCGGCCGTGGCATTCTCAGTGGGCGTGCGCTGTTCTCATACGACCCCACGCTCTTCCGCGATGACGACGACGCCGCCGAAGACGAGTATGAAGTTCAAAACGAAGATGCTGACGACGAATCAAAGCCGGCGTTTCGAGGCGACGGTGTCGACGAGGCCGCTTCTGCCATGGACGCATCGTTGTATTTGCAGGACGCAGACGAGGGTAACTTAGACGAACTCATGGAAGACGAGTAGGGGTAGAATACACAGTAGGTGGAGGTGGCAGGTAGCATGAATGACGATGAATCGATGCGTGTAAGTCACATGTACCATCATCAGTGGTCCGTGTCGTCCCGGCGACTTACACGACTTGGTCCACGAGGAAGTCGTGGCGCCACGCGCCCACCAGCAAGAATACTGCAGCTGGTGCGCTTAGCCATGCCCATGCATCGCGCTAGGTCGCAATATTCTCCTCGTCAACCCACTGGGAGAGCTCATCATTGGTGCGTGGAGCCGCCTGGTGGCGCTGCCTCGTCTGGTAGCTCACTACTTCGGAGTCAGCAGCAGCAACTGCGCAAGCACATCGTCTTCCGCTTGGTCTGCATAGTGCTCATCGACACCCCACCATCGCTCCTTGCTCACATTCAAATGACATGGGTCTTTTTTCATGGAAAAAATGAATGAAGAAACATTTTCTTGGCATCCGGATACCACAGGCGATTGGAGAAAAAGTTGCATCAGTATTCGAACGATCGCGCCAGTCCACGCGGCAGGATGTCAACGTCGATCGGGAACACGGCGATTAAGCGCATCCGAGCGGTATTTTCGTGAGTCTATCATGGGTCTAGAGGGTGAATGTGCGCCGTAGGATGTTCGTGAGATGATGACAGACCCCAGTGATCAGTACTCTGCCGCGCCACTGGAAGTACGGGGATCGAGCCTTTCCGTGCTGCTCATCGATCTGCCCTTGACCTTGTAGGACAACATGTTCGACTGGCACTTTACGATTCGTGGTCCGCGTGACACGGAGTTTGCCGGTGGAGTGTATCATGGACGCATCCTTCTGCCGTCGGACTACCCTTTCAAGCCTCCCAACATCATCCTTCTCACGGTACAACACGGAACTCGACCCATTTCAGAATCGTCATGGAGGAATCATCTAGCCAAACGGCCGCTTTGAAGTGAAGAAGAAAATCTGCTTGAGCATCTCCGCGTACCACCCCGAGCACTGGCAACCTGCGTGGGGCGGTAAGAACGACAAATCTACACATCGCACCATGACCACTCACGACGACGTGGCCTCGTAGTGCGGCTGATCCTTGAAGCGTTGATCAGCTTCATGCCGACAAAGGGAGAAGGTGCCATAGGTGCGTTGGATTTTACTCCTGAAGAACGAAAAGCCCTAGCATTGGAGGTATGTCACCTCAACATTGCATTTTAATCCAGCCTCCAACGACGGTAGTCGGTGCGGTGGACGTGCCCTCAATGTGGCGATATCAACGCCCTTATCCCAGAAGAGAGAGAACGCGAGGATGCCACAGAGTCAAAGTATGCCTCACAGATCGCCCAATTGCACATTCACAACATGGAGGCTCCTTCGACCTCGGACACCACTCCTTCCGACGAGACCGCCGAGATTTCAGATACCGCGATTCCCTCTGCTGCTCCAGAGATCGACCCTTCACCAGCTGCTCCAAGTGACACCAACGCACTGCATGCTCAGGACTTAGCTCCATCACCACCACTGCGTGACACCACACGTGCACCAACCCCATCTCCAACTCGTCGTCCAGCGTCTGCAGCTTCTCGACCAGCGCCCCAACCAGCGTCAGTGGCTCCCACGCCACCCCGTCGCCAACCCGACTTTGTCGACAGCGTGCTGCAAGGCATTTCGACGGCGCTTCTGCTCGCGTTGGTCGCGCTCGTGTACAAGAAGCTGCTGCAATGGAACGGCAACATGATTGCCGACTAAGCACAGCCTTCATTGTGTCCGTGCTGCTCTCGTACTCGCCAGTTCCCCCATCAACTAAACTTCATTTTTATTCAAGAAAGCAAACACGTCCACGATGACAGCTTCCTCTAGCTCCCTGCTACGGCGTGAACGCTTCTACAATTGGCACGACTGGCACTTTGGTCTGTTCGGGCTTGGCCGCTTGCGTGAGGCTCGGCTGATGGGCAGCCCATGTATCGAGCGACATCGGGCGATGGTTTTCCATGGCGAGGATCCACTGCTTGGACGGCGCGCCGCGGCGATAGCCTGCCCGTTCAGCCTTGCTGCTGCACCAGAACACGTAGTCGACAAAGTGAAAGGCCGACCACCACGAAACACCGACATCTCCGAGCGCGGCCAGCGCATGCGGCATGCTCTTGTCGACCATGGGCGGCACCGAATCGATCCCGAGCTTATCCGAAATCTCGCTTAGAGTCAATTCGTCACCGTGCAGCAAGTACAGGCGTCTTGCATGGAGCGGAAAGGTCACACACATGCATCGGAGCGCGTGCGCCGCGTCGTCGGCGGCAATCAAACCCACCCGGCACGAGTCGTCGGCAAAGCTCAGCCGCTCGTTGCGAGTCACTGCCCGCTTCTTGTAGTCCAAAAACACTTCCATGAGCATGGGGATGCGGAAAATGCAGGCCCGAAGGCCACTCTGGCGCACTTCATTCTCCAGCTTGAGCAGCGGCTGAAATGGCGAGTCCCATTCGGGGCTGCCGGCGAACTCCGTGCTAAGAAGGACCATCCCGAGGACCTCGGCCGCCTTTGCCCCTCGCAAGAGCGATGGCAAGACGGTAGCTGCTGTCGACCGCGACGGTAAGTACAGCACCACGTCCATGTTTTTGAGCATCTTGCGGACTTCGTTGGGCCGTTGGAGGCGGCCGTGGACCCACACGACCCCCGGGATCGGCCGCACCGCCTCCGGCATGATGCCCAGTACGTTGTCGCTCCCGTGCACCGTCAAGTTGGGTAGCTGGGCCAGAAAGCTGGCGACTCGGCCACCCAGCATTTCATTCAATCCCACAACGAAGATTCGAGTGGGGAACCGGCCAACGTAGAAGCGATCGGGGGTGAACCAAGCTTGCGGTGGCGTCGGCGCGCGACCGACCAATGTCTCAAAATGGCACTGATCTGGCAAGAGCACCCCGAGCTTCTCACACACGGCAGCTTCGTCATGCCCGCCCATGGGGGACATTGTGAGTGGCGTCGCCAGCCCCGTCCACCACGGCGGCAATTGGAGCGCGTGCCATGATGCAATCCACGTTTGTGTGTCCACTTGGCGGTAGACGATCAACGTGTTCATGGCAGCCGCCAAACACGACGCCATTGCGGTCGGGGACATGGTGGAATGCGCGTGCGCCACGTTCATCGTCATGCCGGCATACGTGTCCGAGTGGAGCAGCGGCTGGATCATGGCATCTGCGGCCTCGGCGAGCCGCAGCACCGGCAGCTGCGTGGCTGGCGCGACGCCTGCGACGATTTGGTGGGCAAGACGAATGTGCACCTGCTGCATGTCGAGAAAGTCGAGAAGGAATGGGAGACGAACAACAGTCCACGACGACGTGCTCGGCCGCAGCGACGTCATGTGCGTTTCCAGGTCGTGCAGGGGGTTCGACTCGCTCGCTCCGGCCCATACCCACGACTGCAACACAACGTGGGGCACGCAAAGATCGTGCGCTGCAGTCAAGAGGTCGCGCGTGACGGACAGCGATATCGTGGTCGCCGTCGAGACAAACACCACATGCGCTCCCTTGATGAATCGTCGGGGATTCACGGGGTCAAACGACTTGACTTCGACGCGCGACAGGCGGTTGAGCGCGCGGTACGTCGGGTCCTCGGGGTCTATCTGCACGGGAACACCCGCGATGATCACGACGGCCAGGTGAGATTGCAGCTGGAGCGCACGGACGACTGCAGCTCCCACGACGCTGGTCGCGTCTGGCACCGCAACGATGCGATGGCCGAGCATTTTACGTAGCGCGATGCAGCCCATGGCGCACAATCAGCAAGATGAAAAGTGTTCTCGCTGACACCACACATGGCCGTTGAAATGCGTCGTGGGACAGGGCGCTCACCGCACACGAACGACAACTTTCTCGTGCAACGGGACGATTGCCACCGAGCCCAGTTGAGAGCGTGGCGACAGTGCGATGGCCCGAGCGCCCTACACTTGACGCCCCCGTCCAGTTCGATCCATCGTGCACGACATTGCACTCGATTCCCCGACCGTTCCGACGAAGCACGACGTCGCTCTCTCCTGCCCTGTCCACGTCATGACCATAGCGTCCTGGTAGCGGCGGTGCTGTCACCGCGTCCAGCAGAGGCTGTAAATCGGCGGAAGTGGACATCGATCTCAGCGTCGCGACACTTCGTCTCTCTCCATGGAGACCACACATGTGCTATGTGCGTGTGAACTTCAAGGTGGGCAGTGGGTGCACCAAGTTTTGACGAATCAGAGCGTTGCAATCTGCGTAAATTCATGGTATTTTAACCAATCAAAAGGCATTCAAAAACGCGGGGTGGCCTTCACGCCGGTTCTCATATCCCGATTTGCGTCAAGATCCACCATGCAGAACGCCGTCGCCACCCGCGTGCTTCGTCCTTTCCTGCGCAAGTCTGTGGCCGTTGCTGCGTCCACACAGTTTCGCGCCATGAGCTCGGCGTTGCCGACGCACCTGCCCTTGTCGTTCTTGTCCGAGGAGGAACTCATGTTCCAAGACGCGGCGACCAAATTTGCCCAAGACGTGTGCCTCCCCAAGGTCAGCAAGATGGACGCGGAAGGCGAAATGGACAGGGAAATCACCCAAGGAATGTTTGACAACGGCGTACGTGATCCATCTCATGCATTCGACAGACATATTCACTGACGTCTGTGGTAGTTTTTGGGCATCGAAGTCCCGGAAGAGTATGGCGGGTCGGGTGCATCGTTCATGAACGTCTGCTTGACCATTGAAGCGTTGAGTCGTGTGGATCCTGTCGTGGGTCTTCTCTGCGACTTGCAAAACACGGTCGTGAACAACGTGTTCGTGGTGCGCGCTCTCACCATCGCGTCAACATGTTTGATCTGCACGGTTGTCTACGTAGAACTACGGCACGCCCGAGCAAAAGCAAGAATACTTGCCTCGTTTGGCGACGGAAATGGTACGTGTTCTCAGAAATCGATGTCCTTCATGCTTCGTGGCTCAGTGCCGTCGTTTAGATTGGGAGCTTTTGCTTGTCGGAAGCCGGGTCTGGCAGCGACGCGTTCGCATTGAAGACGCGCGCCGACGTGTCGGCGGACGGCAGCTACTACACGTTGAACGGCCAAAAGATGTGGATATCCAACTCCGAGTACTCCGGCGTGTTTCTCGTGTTCGCCAACATCGACCCGTCAAAGGGATACAAGGGCATCACGTGCTTTATCGTTGACCGCGACACGGAAGGCTTGGACATCGGCAAGCCCGAAGACAAGCTCGGTATCCGTGCGTCGTCCACGTGCCCCGTGTACCTCACGAACGTCAAAGTTCCCGCAAACAAGATTCTCGGCGAAGTACGACGATCGGTCATCCACCACTTCTCATGCTGTCGTCATCTTGTCAGGCTGGCAAGGGATACAAGATTGCGATTTCGACACTGAACGAAGGGCGCATTGGCATTGCGTCCCAAATGCTTGGTCTTGCCCAGGGGGTATTTGACCAAACTGTGCCGTACCTGTACGAGCGCAAGCAATTCGGCCACTCGATCGGCGACTTCCAAGCGATGCAGCATCAACAGGCCGAGATCGCGCTCGACATTGAGACGGCGCGGCTTTTGGTGTACAACGCGGCCCGGTTGAAGGACGCCGGCGAACCGTTTGTGAAGAACGCCGCGATGGCCAAGTTGCATGCGTCCCGCGTGGCCGAGCGATCCGCTTCCAAGTGCATTGAACTGTTGGGCGGCGTTGGTTTCACCAAGACGCTGCACGTCGAAAAGATGTGGCGCGACTCGAAGATCGGCGCCATATATGAAGGCACGAGCAACATGCAGCTCACGACCATCGCCAAGCTCATCAAGGATGAGTACAAGCCGTAACCATCCCAGACTAGACCCCCAAAAATCACATTCCACCACTGGTCCTTCCAGTGCATCTGTGGACTCGCTCGCGGCACCTTTAGCGCTCCTCTCCGTGGCGCGAACTTGATCACATTCGTGCTATAACATCACGCGCAATTGGGTGGACCAGACGACGGAGCAGCGTGACGAGACGTGTACATTACGTCGACGGAAAATGAAGAGGGCCATGTGGAACGATCTATCCAGGGCGGGAGGCCATGCGCGCGGCCATCGGGTGCTCCCATGCCGCGTCAGAAAGCAACGGGCTGAAGTGGGCGGCGCAGTAGGAGCCTGTGGGGCCAGCCAACACACCATGTCTTGGACATCCGTCCGCAAGCAGTTGGAATGAAAGCGCGCATTTGCTACAGACTCAGAGCAGGAGGAGGTGGATTTGCTGAAGCGGTTGCGCCGTGGAAGCTGTCGGTGGGTGTGTGGGTCGAAACAATCGACCGCACGACGGCCGCGACGATGGTATCAACCGCGGCCAACGCGCCATTGCCTTGCCCAGACCACTCGAATCAACAAAAGACACTCCACAGCCAGCGACGTACCAACTTCGCCACATGCAAGCGTCTTGGACACGGGCGGCACGACGGTGTACCCGAACGATCGAAGCAAGGCGAGTTGGGAGCTCGTCACTCGGTGCTGGTACATTTGTGTGTTCATGGCCGGCGCCACGATGACCGGTTTCGTTGGACTCCACGCTCGAGCGACACAGGTCTGATGCAGCCGTGAGCGCCATCCATTGCTTGGACTTACGTCCACGTGCTTACGAGAAGGTTGTCGCAGAGACCATGGGCGAGCTTGGCCATGGTGTTGGCAGATAGCGGTGCGATGCATAGCACGTCGGCCCAGTCCCGCAGCTAGAAGCATGTTAATCATGACCGAGATGGCACGAGGATGAGGACCTGGATGTGGAGCACGGGGTCCCCGAGGCTCGACCACGCAGACCACTCGTCGTCGTCGTGCAAAATTGGCAGAGCGAGTGCGTCAAACGCGGCATGCGCCACGGGGTCGTATGCTGCGGCCATGTCCAGGAAGAACGTCGCCGCTTTTGTCACGAGGATTCGAACATCGGCGACGGCGGCGAGCTGAACAGCCAATGCTGGTATTTTCACCGCTGCAACGCTCCCCGATGCTGCGAGTAGTACTCGCGGGCGACTGGATTTCGTAGCGTCCTCTGCGAGTACATGATGGGCATGCAAAAGCGGCTGAACGTCGAGGTGAGACGACGAGCGTCCGGCAGTTGGAGGGACTGCAGCCGACGACGCGCCATCGTGCTTGCGCGATCCATTTGCTGCCGACCGGTGAGTAGTGCTTTCCCGGCGTGGTTCGTTTTTGACGCTTTGTTTGTGGGATGTCGCGGTCGCCGTCGCCCGTGGTCGTTCGTGCTTGGCAAGAATGAGGTCCTTCTCCTTGAGCATCTTCGTGACGGCTGGCCTGGACACCCCGAACTCCTTGGACGCCGCCAGGTGCGACATGCCTCCTTCCACACACGCAATGATGCGCATCTTTTCCTCCACCGACTTGTGAATGCGTTGCTTTGGCGGCATCTTCATGCGCTTCGCTCCACACTCACAAGGTGATACATTCGCCTCCTCTGTGATATTATTTTCATATGTATATCTCCATCGAGTATATTAATATAAGGTGTTCGTGGATATTTTGATTCGTTGTGCCCATTCATGTAGTAGAAAAATTACCCAGTTCGCAACAAAGAATTTTGTGAAATATCCTTCAATTTGGAAATATGTTTTTGACAGCAAGAAGCGCATTCCAATCCGCACCGCCCGATTTCAAACCAATAAAATGCACCGGCCGGGCAGCAACCACCGCGTGACGAAGAAGGCGACGTCGAATGCGTTCAAGTTGAACACGTCGGCAGCACGATCGTCGTTGTCGGCTAGTGTGCCAGGCAGTGCAACCTCGGTGCCGACTCCCGCGACAGAATCAGCCGTCGGGTTGACACCGACAGACTCGTTCGCGGCGGCGCTTGCAACGGCCAGCACAGTAGCTGCGGCAACGCTGGCGAACGTTCTCCCAGAGGAGCATGTGAGTTTGTTTTGTCTGTGCGAGACGAACGGAGATCTCGTATTTGTGGGCGCCAAGGGTCGGTTGTGTCACATCAACATCCACGCGTCGAAACCAAGTCTCCACGATCTGTCGCCGACAAACGCGTCGGACGTCAGTGCAGTTCTTGCCTCCGCATCACGTCTCTCGTTCAACTCCCATGGGACGAAGGTCCTCCTCCAAACGAACCAAGGCAACCTGTACGTCTTCAACCTGCCCCTCAACGCACACCATACGCTCACGCCGACGCCGGACCATGTTCAAGTCGTATTCGCCGACGACAGTCGCCGAGTCGTTAAAGTGAACGCTCGTTCGCACGATCTATCCGACGCGACATCTATCGAACGCGCCCTTGCTCTCCTTCCTGCCGCCGAACGTGCCCAGGTGAAGACGGTCGTGCCGGACGTGTACGAGGTCGAGTTGCGCCAGATCCTGCTGCTACCCACCGTCAAAGCAACATCGACAACTTGGCACCCGCTAAGCGACTCCCACGTGGTCGTCTTAACGTCCACGGACGAGCTCCACGTGTACGCCACGAACGAGAGTACGTTGACGCCGGAGCAGACGCACGTGCTGTCGTTTCCGCCGTCTTCGGCGTCGACGACGGCGGTGACGTTTGGCCCGCCGCAAGGATGGGAATCGATGACGTGTTATATTTTGCGATCTAACGGCGACTTGTTTGCCTTGACTCCCTTGGTCCCGTTTGACGCGGCGGCGGTGTCGTCGACGCTCTTGCAATTTCTCCACCAAGTGACGGACGGTCGCCTCACGCACCAGCAGACAGATGTGGACTCGCGCATCCTCCTCAAGGCACAGAAGCACTGGCTGTCCACAGTCTGGCAGGATTTGCCCGCTCCACAGCCGCCACTGGACGGCACGGCAAACGACGACTCGTTCAACGACCAACCTGCCCCTCTCGTGCATGTTCTCGTCAAGACCAGTTCGACGCCTGAAGCCCTGGCTACGCTAAAGTGGCCGCTTCAACTCCAGGGACCCTTCCGAGTGGGCTCGGCGGGGTGGTCACACCCAGGCAGCTCCGCACAGAGTGTTGCGGCCGTGGCATACTCCGGAGCGTCCCCAAACAACATTGGGCGCGCCCCTGTCCTCGCGTTTGGATGGTCGAGTGGTCATGTCACGCTGGTACGTGTGCGAAGTTTTGGCTCGGCCATGTTGCACGGCGTGTGCGCTTTTTGAGCTGGTGGAAGCGCTGGTTTGGAGTGCCTTCGTTGGACACCTCGCTCGTTTGTTCTCGCGCCACTTGCATCCTCCAGGCATCGTCCTCATTTGCGTGTGTGTGGTATAGAATGTTCTGGAGCGAGAAATCCACCCGCGATGGCAGCTCCGGTCGTCGACTGCTGCTCCGACATCCATGGGCGGCGCACCCTCTGTGTACGTCGTGGAATGTCTGAGCCTCGGGGCGACGAATGACTACGGAAAAATCCACCTGACGACCCACCCGTTCAAGGCGCACGTGGTGTATGCCCTGCATGCCACGGGCGTCCATGTTCTCCATCTGACCTGGATGAACTCGTGTCCTTTGGCCCCTCCTTTCACAACGGCCGTGCACCGCGTGCTATCGATCGCTCCATCTGCGACGGCTGTCGTCGTCGGGGCGGCTGTTCTTTACTCTGTTGAGCGCGGACATGTCCTGGCGGTGCTGTATGCGAGCGGGAAGTGGGAGCTCATGAACGTGTCGGCCAAGACAGCCACGATTGGCGCGGCATCCCCTGCTTCTCCCAACGGACCAGACGCCGCCGCATCCTCCAAAGATATCGTGCCGCCGCTCGCCACCCTCGTCGATCAGTTGCAGACCAAGTACGTGTACAACCGCGTGCATGTCGAGGGCGGCGCCACGGCCATGAGCAACACCACGATCGACACGTTCAAATTCGTCCAGGGCCACGTGCCCGCGCTGCTCGACCAAGTTGCGTACATTGAAGCAGTCAGTGCGACGACAAAAACCCGCATGGATCTCCATCGCGAGTGGCGGGACCAGCAAGACAAGGACGCCACGGCCCTCTCCAACGCGGTCGACGCCATCACGTCGGCCATCACGTCCCAGTGCTCCCGGGTCAAATCCGTCCAAGCCAAGCAAGCAAAACTCAACGGCCGCGCGGCCGCTGTCCTGCAAGCGCTCAAGGAGAACCAAGCCGTGCTGTCCAAGGCAGAGATCAAGTACAAGCAAGACCTCCAGGAGATGGCGCACGTGACCCGCCGCCTCGTCCCACGCATCACCCAACTCAACTTGGAAGCGCAGACGTTGCTTCGCACCGCCGACGACGCAGGAATTGCCACAACGAAGCACCTCTCTGCCGACCGTGCACGTATTTGCCACGACGTGCTGGCGGCGGAAACGCAGCTCATCGCAGACACCACGGCGCGCCTCCACGACCTCGTCGATCGAGTGGCGACCTTGCGACTCGAATAAATGCTGCTCTTGACCGAACTCCATTGTGACCTCTGCCCTGTCGTTCCAATCTTCTAATTCGCACACACCATCGAGACGCCCACGAGCGCGATTTCAAACCATTCCCGCCGACGCGATCGGGACCGAGATTCGAGTTATCGGAGGCTTCGTTAGAGCCGCCGCGAGTCCTTGGTTGTTCGGGCGACGAGGAGGTGATGCAAGTCCATGAGGTCATCTACGTCACGATGCCGACGATGATGCAACGTTTGTGGAGGCAAGTGGCGAGGATCAAGGGGGACATGCATACCTGGGCGGTGGAGGCGGTGGCGAGTGGCAAACATGGTGTGGCACAAACATGAACACTGGTCGCATCCGTCGCATAGCCCGCACTGGACGCGATCCGAGCATGTGCACGATGGAAAGTCGCCGCCAGATCGTTCTTTGAACGCTTGCGACTGCGGCAGGCTGCCCGTGTGGCCGGCGCTGGATCGGATGCCCGTCTTGGGCTCGAATTGCGACTCCATGCGAAAGCAGTCGATGCAAATGACAAACGGCGGCGAAATCTCAAACACGGTGCACCCGAGGCACTGCTTGTACGTGTTGGACAGCTCATTCCTGATGGAGACCGTGAGGGAGCGAGCCAGTCACTGGAGTCAGCGCCACGTACGAGCACATTCGGCAGACGGCCATGTGCGGCGGCAAGACTCGGTCGACGGCGTTGGGAATCCGTCGGTGGGCGCCGAGGAACCACGAATCGTCGCCTTGGCGGTGGATGGCTTGTTCTTCGTCGACAAAGAGCTCGACGACGGGCAGAATCGCTCGAATTTTCGACACGATCGGCCCAAACGACGTCGTCTCGAGCGTCGAGAGGGCTAGCCACTGGCGAGCCGCTTCGAGGATGCAATTCCGCGGGTTAAAAACAAACTGGAACGGCATCGGGGACAGCGATGGCGGGGGCTGCCGGGCGTAGTGGGCGACTGCCGTGTTCACCGCAGACTAGACCGGGACATATCGTCATGAGTTGCATGGGACCTGCGCTTGCGGAACACCGACCTTGGCCGAGGCCTGGAGTCCCTCCGGCGTTACTCCCTGGAACACCCACTCCCAGCTAATGAACACAAGCATCGAGTACACGTCGGCGCTTCCAACGCTTCGCCACATGTGCAGCCGTCCCTACACCCCATCATTCGCGACTGCAACCGCAGCACAGCGCATACCTTGTGGACGTGGACGAGTTCCCCGGCCACGAGCCGCACGACAGATGCGTTGAAGCCGAATTTGCTGCCACACAACAAAAATGCATATTCACGATATCGAAATGTCCTCGATGGGCGCTCACTTGAGATTGTGCAGAAACTTGTCCGAGAGATCCGCGCGGGTGTTGGGATGGTACCCCATGCGCTTGAGGATGTCGACGACGCTATTGCACAGCTCGGACGACATCGGGTCGAACACGACCAGTTCCATTTCGCCCAACACCACCTAACACGATATGAGGTTGGTGGAAGCACTCGACGGAAATGCATGGCCCTCGCCAAGCGCTATACGGGTGGTTGGGAACGGCTGCAGTACCTGATATGCCGTGTCGGTGGAGCCATTGCCCGAGTAAAGGAGCTCCGACCGCTGCCCCGTCGGTCGGCCAAAGTGAATTTTTGGCTCGAACCGGCGAGGGTCCCGGTACTGCGATGGCATGTACTGCATCCAACAGTGCGGCCCGCCTGCAAAGAGATTCCAACCAAACGCGGTCGTCAAGTTTGCATGGACCTGCGCCAACAAACGCGTCAAGAGCGCGCTGCACGAAGGTGCGCTCAGTCGTACCCGAGGCGCGTGAAACGCGAGCTCGATCCCTTGTAACGTTAACCCGTCGTCAAGACTCCCGACAACGACGGCGCCGTCAGGATGCGGCAATTGCACAGGCGATCCGTGGAGGAAGAATGGTCGCACGGTGCTGAGCGGGACCATAACAGACGACACGTACGTCATGTTTCCGTTCCGGTCGGCGCGGTAGTGGTCGCAGTGCACGAGAAGGTGCGGTGGCAGCCTGGGATGGGTCGAGGTCAGTTGAATGGGTGGCCACGATCCTGTGTACGCTGCAAAGAGAAACGATAGAGTCCAGTAGGAGGTAGTTAACGTCGACGCGAGCCCCTGCAGCACCACCAGCAATTCCACGCGCTCCAAGCACCTGCCACGGTACTCCCATGAGTTCCAAGAGATATAGATGACAAGCGGAATGCACATGGCGCGAATAAACGAACGTAGCGTACCCCATCACAGTGGCAACCTCGCTTTCAGACATGAGCGATCGGTCCTTCATCGCAGCGGTGACGTCGAGGCGGATGACGTTGTTGCGAGCATCCAGGTCGTCACGACGACCGTCATGGAATCGGTGAAGGGCACCAAGTAAGTCGCGCCGCGTCCACCGAGGATGGGAGGTCGATGGCTCGGTAGACGGCGGCTGGCCACACGCAGGGTCGTAAGATGATTGGGACGACGCAGTGGGACCAGGGTGGGTTGACTTTGCCGTATTCTCAGCCCGGGGTTGAGATCGAAGGGACGACGTGTAGCGGAGCGGAGGCATGTACAGAGCGCTCATGTCCATGGTTGGAGGCGTCGAAGGAAGTGATGTGTTGGTGTGACTTGAATGGCGAGGCGGTGGAATCAACAAGGATGGCGTGGGGTAGGCGTGCACGTTCATGTCGGAAGCAGCATGCCGCGGAGCGGCCGAGTCGGATGGCACGGGATTTGATACATCGTGGTGGTGAGCGCGAAGATTTGCGCCAGGGGATACAATTGTCGATGGCGCCGCTCGACCATTCATAGATGTTGGGTGCGGTTCGCCATCATTGCAGCCGCTGATGGTGGGAACACTGGGTTTGTGGATGGTCATTGGCACGGGTGGAGTCTGTCCAACGTCACGCCGCATCGCAGCGTTCTCTTCTCGGTGTTTGACGCCCAAGCCAGGGTTGGCAGCAACTTGGAGCTGCAAGTCCATGTCGCGAAAGATATCACTTGACGGCACAAGCACGTCCTTTTGATTCAAGTCGGTGAACGTGCCACGGCTGTGCAGCATCTTGAAGCAGGATGGCTGGCACAGGACATGGAGCTCATTGGCTTCGGACGAAAGGAGGTGCGCGCCAAGGCTCACGCGCCGTTCCTTGTGGCAGAAGCGGCACTTGACGAGCGGCATCAATCCCACCACTGCAACGACTCCCTCCAATTGGCGAACGTTGTCTCGCCGGATTTAAAACTATTTACAAATCGACTCACGGGTTTTAAATCCTCAATCGGTTTTTGAATTGATGTCGTAGTATTTTAATTTCATTCGCTAAACCCCCACGACAAGTACCTTCTAAATTCCACATATTCTCGTTATGATGGAAATATATGAATATTTTTTGATGGTTACCCGCACAAAACTCACTCCGGGAGGGGTGACGTTCAACTTGTCGACGCACCTCTGCC